ATTATTACTTTTATGTTTATCATCATTACTATTATTATTATTATTATTATTATTATTATTACTATTATTATTATTATTATTATTATTATTATTATTATTATTATTATTATTATTATTATTATTATTATATTACTGCATTGCTTCATTCATTATTCTAGGTATATTCACAGGCCTAGCATACGTTATATTATTAGGTCTTCATACAGCTGGCCCAGTTACAATCTCTATATGATCCATTTCTCTGAAATAAACATCTTAACTGTGTAGTGCTGGCCAATACAATGGATAGTTTATTTGACTAGTCTCTGCAATTAACACCCTTGGTTCTTTATTATTGTAGATATTCAGTATGCATAGATAAATAAACCAATCATTTTACAGTTTTATAAGTATTTCTCATTTGCTCTCTGTCACCTTTATTCTTTTTTGATAAGACAGCCTATATTATATTGATTCATGATGTTTTCCTTATTCTTGCTGATGAAGGCCACAGAATATATATATATTGTGATTCGTGGGTTGGTTTAGAAAATTTGAAAAATACTTTAAATTGCTATTGGGCATTTGAATTCACTACAAAAGTGCTATGACGTTTGCCGTGTAAGTGAAAGTTCTGTAGCTTGAGTCCCGCAGGATTTGAATCATGTCATATTACTTTTTAGTTTACGTTTCATTAGTATATTTTTATGCATTTTATATTTCTGGCCTGGTGTTAATAGGTTTACTTTTAACATGAGAGGTGAAAGTTATGCAGACATTATGCTCTCACAATTAGCAGGGGTGGATCCAGAGATGTCTAAAAAGGGGGACCGAAGGGGCCGAAAGGTGGGGGGGGGAGTGCAAAAGTGGGGCCGATCGAAATAACATTAGCCTAGGGAAATTTGTGTTTTTTATAGACACCCGAAAATAAGCTCTGAGGCGTTTTGGGCGATCAATTATTTCTTTCTATTTTTTCCCCTTTTATTTTGACTTTGCAAAATTGGAGGGGCTGCCCCCTCCCCACTTAAGTCCACCCCTGATTATGAGAGTTATGCTGATGCCCTTAAACTGCCAACTCTTTATCAGCGTCGTATATACCCGGTGCTCTATTTTGGTAAAAAAAGATATTGCTCTTGACTCCGAACACCACGGAACTATACCGTATGCTACCCAGTTTCAACGTCCACATCCATACTCGTACATGAGAACCGAGACAACTATAAACAAATATATATTCATATAGTTGTCTCAGCAGATGAGAAGAACAAATGAATTAAGGGGTCCTGGTGGAAAACCAGAGCGTTACAGAAAGTCAGCTATTTAGGTTAAGCTGTATCGAATATCGATTGAATTAATGATATCTATAGGTCTATCACATGTAATAGCATTATAAATATTTCTTATTCTTTTCTCAACAAAAAAAACTCAAAGGTCGAATATGCCACTTCATTCAGTATTACTACGTCTACTTTTGCGTGTGTGCCGATCCCACCCAACCGGCCATTTTCGAAGCAAAAAACATACGCTCAAGTAGTTAAAAATAATCTTATTTGAGATAGCGATCGACCCCCCAATTAATCATCGATCCCCACTTCTCCTTCTCTCCTGCCATCATCCCCCAATCAGCTCCCATACCTCCCATTTCAGGATTCTTACTGTAGATACGCCACTGATTACAGTTGATTGAATCAGATTCCTTTTATGTGTTTGTTAGTATTTTCTGGTTATTCTAGACACCTCCTGCAATGCCAGACGGTTCCATGACCGATTTGTGTGAGTAATCATGGTCATATTACGAGCTACTGCTGGGCTGATCGTAACATATCACTTGAGATTGGGGTTTTCCCAAATTCAAACCTGAACACACAAATTTAGACTGGGTTATTTTGTATTTCATAATTTGATTGTTGTGGATTATCTATTTGCCAGTGTGTGAAGTTAAATAAGAACAGCAAATTCTATGTCACATCACATTCTTTCCATTTGATGATTAGAGGTTACTGCAAATTTAATATTGATATTTAAAGCGTCTTCAGATAGGCCTATTTTATAGGCCTCTTTGTATTTGTCAACCATGTTAGTTCCGACACCCAGAGTGACAGTCAGTCATATTTTTTTTTACCGGGTGGCGTGAGTGGATCTAAATTCCGCAGGGGTTGAAATATGGTTGAGAGAGTACCGTAAGGTTTGAAGTGTTCTGTTTACCTATTGCGGGAGTCCAGCAGGATAAATAGTAAGCCTCCAAAAAACCCCGAAGTTTAGCTTTTTTAGAATCTTATCCAACTGATTTCACGTTATCGATATTTTGACTGTGGCCAGGTTAAACGCGTCTTCTGCACCCCTGGATCCGAGAACAGTACTTTTCACGGATCACAAGGCTCTAATTGCTCAAAGGCTTTGGATAGGTCTATACACCAAAACTTCAATCCTACTGGCTCTGCCCCTTGACCCCGCCAGGATTATAGGCGAACCCATACCCCAGTTGATCCATTTTTGCATGCCCCACACCCAAATGATAATCTTGGACACGAACCTACATGTGTCGAAATTCACATTAAAAACATATATTAATGCCAATGCCCGAGGCAACTTTGCGTACATGTGTAAATGTTTGATCTCGGCTTAAAATTTATGATCTTAGTTATTATATATAAATCATATAAAAAATATATTCCTTCATTAAAGTGATTGTCTCCATACATGGAATTACATTTGCGCATTTTGTACACTGGACGCTTTTTTTTTTCTTTTTTTTTTTTTGGCTGTCCTACATTTATTTTGTTACACATTGACCCAAGCTCACAAATGGGCTGTAAACTCGCACCGCACTGTATTGAGAAACAAGCCTCCATAGCCAGAATAGGGCGTAGAATGTGAATTTTGTTTAAATTGGGTTTTTGTGTAATAAATAAAGTATAACTTTTAATCTTACTATTCCTAAAGTTTGAGTTTAAAATTCCAAATGTAAGAGGTAAAATTTAGCCATTTTCTGATGGGAGCTAGTGAAAAATGAATAGAAACCTTCCGAAAATAAAAGCATTTTTCTCAAAACTTGATTTAAGAAAGTTGATTATTCAAACGGTCATAACTTTGCTTCCAGACACCCGATTAAGTTCATTTAACTGTCATTTTAAAGTAAATGATATGTTCTATGCCATTATAACAAAAACTCATTTTGGCCTAAGGACGAGTTTACAGCCCTTTTGTGAGCTTGGATCACTGGACATTTCATACACGTGCATGAGCCTACATTTTGTTACACACAATTTTTTTTACACGCATGTTGTTGCCCATGCACATTGTGTTAGCCAAACGTATTGGTAACTATAATATTGCATTATACTCGCAATTTGTTACACCTACGACTTTGTTACACACACGTACTTTTACTTTCACAGTAACGTAACACTCACTCATTTTACAGACTGGAACAATATTGATTTTTGATACACTTGGAAATTTTAATGCACACGTGCAATAAAGTTACACTCGACGATTGTGTTACTAGTGACACACTACTCAACCTCCAGCGTGTCTCATTCCGTTCACATTCACGGCACATGTCATTAAACCACTATCCTAGACAACAGTGGATTTCTCATAATTTGAAAGGAAACGCCAGTAACGATTGAAAACTTTTTTTATTTTATTGCCTAACGACAAATCGAAAGAGTACTAGTTCACAATCAAATGAAGATTAATTGTTTCAATTCTTGAACAGATTTCTTTTATGCTACATTTAAGTAAATATAGGCCCTATATAGTTTGTGTAGGAAACCCCACAACAAATTACTCTTTTTTTTATAAAATCCGGAAAATCCCACAACAAATTCCGTTAAAACCCTGAATTGCTCGTTTAAAAAAAACAAATACAGTGAACTTTTTTGCAGGTATAATAATAATAATTAACTGATTACTTAATGTCATCGGGTTGTAAGTTTTTTGTGCAGAAACATTTTATGACACAGAATGAAACAAACCCACAAAAGTAGCCCTGAAGTGTATGTTGCTTCCCAAATGATGTCTCAGTTGCTGAAAATTACTACGAAGAAAATAACATCTTATAGACCTACAGTATTACCCGACGTGCCTTAATATCAAGTCGTTGTGACTATCCAAACGATTCCAGACGGATTTACTAATGTATTGTGCTGTATTATTTTAATAGCATGAAATACTGGATACATCACTCCATGGAAGTATACAATTAATTTCATACACCCATGATTAATCAAATAATTAAGCACTGCTCTCAAAGCACCTCTTCGCACTGAACCTTTGAGAAATATTTTATAAATACGGCCACATTATTTGACGGTATGGTTGTTTATGAATTTTAGCCTTTTGTTAGAGTGTTTAATTGTTTTGCGCCTACGTTTTTGGTCTTATGAACTTCGTAGCATTCGAAGTTGTTAACCATTTAAGGAACGAAAAGGAATAGTCGTGGACTAGCCTACGTGTATATGAATTTGATAAAACTCAATTCTTTCATTTAATTTTCGGCAATAAAAAAACTCTCACACCAAGCCCGTAGTATAATTTATTGAATTACACAAAAAAAAAAAAAAACATTCAATATAAGCGAATTGTATATGCCTTCATATAAACATGTATAAGGCACAATTGGTCGAATTGGTACAGAAATAAATAGTTTCTCTGTTATTTTTTTAAACCATTCTGCCGAGGTTGGGTACAAAATCCAGGAAGAATTAGTCCCGGGACCTAATATATAACCTTATGGCCTTCGTTCAATCCTCATATAGGCCTTACCTCCATGATTTAATTTTGATGTAAAATATAGTTCCACATGTATAATTGTTAACATTAACAGTTAGTACGCCTACCTGTATCAATAAAACTCCAATAAGGAAGCGATCATAAACCATTTTTCAAAAGAAAGTCGAAAATTTCTGAGATGTTGTCTTGAAAAGAGGATGTGGTCCTAATACCAATCACGTAGAAATCTAATCTGTTTCACTTTCACAATCTCACAGTTTAGTATCACGTGATTAAAGTTGGCGTTCACTCTTTATGGTGTTAGTATCTTGTTTCAATATTGTAAAAACGATAAACGGTTGTCCGATGTGGATACTTTTCTCTCGACAAACACTCTACGATGTGTGTTCGTCCCTATCTTCATATACAGTGGCATGGTTTGAAGGAATTTGTTCATTCTTTGTGCACATCACGGGTCATTTTATGATAATCAGGTTTATATTGAATTGTTGATTTTATTTATAGTGCCCTACAGAAATAGGGCATAATGCAAGGAGATATACCACAGAATGCAGTTCACATTACAGGAGCCAGTAGGCCACATGCATTACAGTACTATTATATGCTAATATTAATGATATATACATAGGCCTATATTATTATATATCGATATATTCATAGTAATGATGATGGTGATGTTCATGATGATGATGATAATGAATAGGATGACGATGACGATAATAATAATGAAAATAATAATTGTTATTTATCGTCTTTTGAATAGTTTATTCAAACGGATTAAGTAAATTGTTCCAACCTAGACCAATCAATCAACTGCCTCTATCCTCCTTCAGAGCTTTCGGAGCATATCTCCAGGGGGAAAAACCCTACGAGCCTCTTAACAGTTCTGCCCCAACCCCAGCCGTTGGAAGGAGATTCAACCCCCAGTACTTGGTTCACTTCACGCCAGATTGTTCCCCCTCCTTCTCATTGTCTTATACTTCTTCATTTCTTCCCAATTTCTATTAACCCTGGCGCCGCCACTGCATTTAATATATGCAAACAACCTTTGTAAACGAAAACAAATAATTGATGTCCTACGGACCTTTAAATTTACGCTTGAATTTATATTGGCTTGAGTGTGTATTATATAGGAAGCATTTTAGGCCTGCGCTCACTTAATTAGGTACCGGTACATACTATGGAAACACCACTGGTGACCACCGGGAACACAGATGCAGTACCATAATCTTACTGCCGGATAATTGCTTGTAGCTTAATAAAGAGTCGGCGAATCAAGAGCGTCGTTTCATGCGCATTCACATTTTTATCGGAGCGCTTCACTTCATCGAAATCAGTAGTTTGAACTGTTTAATTTTTGCATGCAGGAACGAAAAATTGCACAATTAATCAGAGCTCAGAAGCGAACCGACGCTTTCGTTCGCGCGATTAAATTCGCCTAGAGGAAAACAGGCTTTAGGCCTATTTTTCTTTGGTTTAAAATTTTAAAATGTTACGTGATGTAGATTACTAAAGATAATAATCAAGGTGAATACATTTTTTTAAACATTAAAAGATTCATAAATTCTTAATAATTTTTAAGCATACAAGTTTTAATGTCCACAACACAACTTTTTACTGGTAGGTAGTGCTTGTATACCAACACTAAAGCTGGTTTTCTATTCGCGCGAATCAAAGCGTCGGTTTGCTTCCTGAGCTCTGATTGGTTGCGCATTTTTTCGCTTCGCAAAAACTCCGATAAGAATGTGAATGTGCATGAACCGACGCTTTCGATTCGCGCGAATAAAACAGGCTTTACGGAGCTCGCGGGTTGTAACTTGTCTTAGCAATTACTCTCACGTCTAAAACTGCAATGGTGGACATTTCCTGTCATTTGACACTATTTCTACCACTCCTGTTTTACTCCTACACTTTTGGAGTCCTTTGGAGGTCGATCTTTACTCACCAGAAGCAGAACCAGAACATAAACCGTTGACAACGATAGAAGAACTGATGGAAATTAGAATACTGTACTAATATGGTTGTCATGAGCTAAACAAATTAATTTCTTACTTGGATTGCTTAATTTATTATTATTTTAATTTGCACATAAACATTTGAGAAAAACCTCCCCCATAGCTAAACAGAGAGTTAAATAATACGTTTTGTTATAATAATACCTTTACATTAGCTGGTGATCATTTTTTGTAGTAAGAATGCATGTGAATTGCTAATCTGTTACTTTTTGGAAAATAAAAACTATTTTGATCCTTTTAAATGAGTATTCTTAATGTTGACTTCCAGGGGTTTCAGATTTCATTATTTTAACGCCATGAACACAGCAACATTTATATAGTTGCTGATGTCTTTATTGTACCAGATCGGTATATATATATATATATATTATAGGCCTATTAGCGAAATAACACAACCAATTATCAAAAACCATGGTAATTAATGAAACTCAACTCAATATAAACGGAAAATACACCGTGTGACTTTTTTGTTTTAACTTTGACAATAATATATACACGCACTTCAAACTAGGTAAAAACATATTTTTAAGAGGATTTTTGCCACTCGCGCACTCCGAAAAACCATCTGCTAGGGGCGGATCCAGAGATGTCCAAAAGGGGGGGCCGAAAGGGGGGCCGAAATTTGGGCCGATCGAGACAACAATATCGTAGGGGGGTCCGGGGGCATGCCCCCGCGAAATTGTTGTGTTCTAGACGCCCGAAAATAACTTTTGAGGCGTTGTGGGGGCCGGGGCCGGGGCGCCCCCCCCCTAAATCCGCCCCTGTATGCAACTGTTATTATCTCAAAACAGGTCTGTTAGGCTTCAGAATAGTCGTTTAAAATATCGTTCCTGGTTGACTGACTGTATTTACTTCTTGTAATGGAGGAATCCCATAAAAATCATTCTCTTCTCTTTTTAGCTCGTCATCAAAAACCGGGTTCACAACGTTCATTGTCCCGTCATTGTTACAATCTCGATGGTATTTAAAACGCCTAACCCTGCAGCGATTAAAGTAAATCCATAAAGAAAGCTACGTTACGTTGATCTGACATGTTATATTATGAACTAATATTATCATTTACTCTAAAAATATAAATTTAAAAAACGTGTGTGGTTGTCAATATTTAGGCTATCTTTCTGACAAAATAGATTTTAGGTCTAATTCCTCAAACCAGAACAGTGCAAACTAACCTCAAGTAAGTAACCGAAAGAACGATTAATATGAGAATGACACCAACGACAAGTAGTACATACCACTGGCTGAACAACTGAAAGTAAAATCAATAATTTATGTAAATAAAAATAAGCGCTCGTATTGACATCCCTTAATATACTGCATTGTATTGAATTATTGATAATAATCAAGCAAAAACATTTCCCCGCAAAAACATACACGATGCCAGTAATGTGTTCACATTTTGAAAACGATGTCTCGGACTATTAGTAACTAACCTGACAGATTTAGGCCTAAAAAAACACAGGCATATACATTAGCACCTCATTGTGCAAATCAAATAATGTTTTACACAAGCTTTCGCAAGCAGACCAGTTTATAACTGATCAAGGTAATATCAAATACTGTTAAAATGCTGTTTTACAAATTATACAAGTTAGTCGATAAAGTTCTACCTGTGTTTAATGTTATAGGTTTATCTGACATATCCCACATATCTGAAGTATCTTCAGTGTATTGCCATACATAATTATAGCTGTTCCGAAAAAATGGTCGTTATGTTATAGAATGGCCGGTACAAAGTCAACAGTCCACTTAAGAAGACTGTCAAAATGTCACAGTTTTATACATTATTGGGTCATCGTAGAAAATTAATATAATTTTATTGTTATTTCAAGCATTTAATATCATAATATTCATAATCCAATGTTTATTTTATTTACTTAGGCAGTTTTTACTTAAGGAAATTTAAGAGTGCTCAGTAGGTAAAACATAATTCTGGATTATACAAAAGCAATAGATAGTTGTGCTCTTCATATATGAAGCTATCTAATAAAGATAAACCGTAATGTGAAAGAAAGGGAAAATGGCTCGTCTGATAGAAGTTTATGTGACCGTCAGTCCTAATTACGTTGTTCCATTTGTTGGTTTTGCAAAAGGGTTTCTTGTGAAATTGCAAATGCAAGTACTACTGTTTGGCTTCTGGGAATATATTGCAGTCTTTCTTCTCTCTTTTGTATTCTTATATTTAAAGGATATTACTTTCATTGAGACTGTTGTTTCATATATTGTAATCATCTAGTTTTTTTTTAACTTTAGGATACCATAAAAACTACAATTGAAATTATCATATTAAAACTCACGGAGTTTCCATCGTTAGTTTGTGAGACCGGTTCGGCTTTACCATTGTGTACTTTTTGGTTGATGGCTAGTGATATGTCCTCATCCGAATAAGAGTCAAGAAGATTTTCAACCTCACGTGACAATAATAGTTTATCGGATAAGGTGACGATGAATGTTACGTGAGTCACACGTTGTCTGTGAATAATAAAACATATATCTTATAAAAAATATTCAATTTGGATGTTGGGTTCATGCCATGGTTTTCCGAAATGATCTGGTGAAAAGGTATGTGCTACTCCTAACAAAATGTCACTCCATCTTTGTTTATCTATGATCTCCTGGGCTTTATCTACGTCGTATTCATCATTTTTACTTCTAATTTTAACAAATTAGTTATACGTGAATCTTGAATCGTATCCTCCATAAAAAGCCAACAAAACGCTTATCCAAGGAGTCCTGTGCTGTGTAAACGTGCCCCACTGTGCTTTACAAATCAATTGTGCAAGTAGAATATTAAGAAAGAATTAAGGATGTTGATGGGTCCCGGTTGGAATGGGTTGAAGATCCCTCAAGGTTGGTAGCGCTAGACTCTGGAACTGTTGAAGGAGCTACGACGACAGACGAAGGGAGTCTATTCCACACAGGAATGGCGCGCACAAAAAAAAAAGAGACTGCTGTTACACTACAGTTCAACCACCAAATCGAAACCACATTTGTGATCTAAATATGTGAGGTTGTCTCAGGGATCGATCTCCGATTAGATGGTTAATTGTGTTAAAACATGGTGGTCTCGAATTAGAGGGGTCTGGGAATTAAATGGGTCTTCAAGTGGAGGGCTAACTGCACCAAAGTTATAATTTATAAGTAAATAATAGTTTAATTTGAAGAAGTGTATAATAATTATAAGCTTACATAGATTTTATATGTTATATAAAGTATGCATGTTAACTGTAATAAAAGTACAATTTTATTCGTTCATTCTCGGTAAAAGTAAATTACAAATACTAGTGCCTCCTCGTAAAACAACTTTTAAGATAAAACTTTAATTTACTTTGTAAGTACATCTTCATATTCATCGGTTGTAATTATCTTGGTTTGTACTGTAGAGCTGCGCTTCATCTGAGATCCTCCAAAAAGGGCGTTCATTCCTGTTTCAAACCTGTTTTTATCCTCCAGAGGACCGATGACGTTAATGAAATGTTGGTGCTTAGATAGATCTAGAAAATCAAAACGATGTTTGCATGCTAATCACTACCTTTTTATGTGCGTTTTACTAGAAATTTGCCAGTATTGCCGCCTGGCTTTGTATTCTAACCACCGCGCCATTGAAACCCAACACATAACTCACCTATACTGCAGAAAGAACCATAGAAACCAGTGTCACATAGGCACTCAAACTCATCCACCGCTACTAACCGGCACTTGCCATTCTCACATGGACGCTTGGAGCACACATCGTCTATCAAAAATTCGCACGTTTTTCCAACGTAAAAATCGCTACAATTACATCTATTCAAATTACAATTATATTGACGTTAAAAAATAATGGAATTTGAAATACAAAAATAATTATAACTTGTAATTCATATTTAATAATTCCAATAATGTAGCAGTATTACAGGCCTACAATCTATATTATAAAATTATTATCTAATGCCATGCGCCACGATTTCAATGAAAGAGTGGGATATAAGTGGATATGTGGCATAGGTATGGCGAATGTCTAAACACATTCGTGTATGATGTAATAATTTATGTGTATTACGATGATGACGACCATAAGGATGATATGTATTATTGTTAATTATAATGATGATGATAATAATAATCACATTAGTGAGGAATATGATAATGATGATGCTTCATAAATATTAGTAAAATGTATTACCGGCCTACTCACTCAAATTGTCCAGGTAAATCTACGCATGCTCCGTATTTGCAAGGATTACTGACGCATTCATCGAGATCATTCTCACAGAGATCACCTGTAAAACCCGATGGACAGATACAAGTATACATATCCAAATCATCTACACACGTGGCTTGATTCTTACATGGAGAACTATCGCATTCATTGATATTCACTTCACAATGGGCACCTGTAAATCCTTCTGCGCATGTGCAAATAAAAGTCGCTACGAGATCAATGCATGTGGCATCATTTACGCACGGAGAACTCTCACACTCGTCGATGTCAACATGGCATAGCTTTCCTTCGAATCCTATGGAACACTGACAATGGAAACCATTAACTCCATCGTCACAAGTGCCGTTATTTTGACATGGTGAACTCTGACATTCGTCAACATTCTCCGAGCAGATGGTACCCGTGTATCCGTCTTCACACAAACATGCAAAACTATCAATTTTGTCAGAGCAAGTCCCATTATTTATACAAGGCAGACTTTGACATTCGTCAACATTTTCTGAACACGTGGTACCATCGAAACCAGGTGGACAAATACAGGAGTACTTATTGACCTCATCTTGACACGTCGCTCCATTGAAACATGGTTCAGATTGGCATTCGTTGTAATTGATGTCACAGGAGTTTCCAACATATCCTGACTGACAAGTACATGTGAACGTAGCAACTTCGTCAACACATGTTGCGTTATTCTGGCATGGGCCACTCAAACACTCATCTATGTCAGTTTGACAATAGTCACCAGTAAAACCTGCTGTACAGTTGCAAGAGTATCCATCGATAACATCAGTACATGTTCCACTATTTTGACATGGTAAACTTTGACATTCATCTATGTTGACATTGCAGGTGGATCCTGTATAGCCTGGAGCGCATGCACAGTGGAATGCATTAACACTATCTGAGCAGTTACCATAGTTTGCACAAGGATCACTACTGCACTCATTAAAATCAATTTCGCAAAACTCTCCTTGAAACCCTGGCTGACATTTGCATGTGAAATTATTGAAGTAATCCGTACACACACCACCATTTTCACATAGTTCATTCAGACATTCGTCTGTTTCATTTTCACAGGGAGAGAATAGACACTCATTCACGTCTTGATTACAACTGGTTCCCTGCCAACCTGACAGACATATTTTTCCTCCAGAACTGCTGCAGGAATAATGACCGGTAGTGTCGTCACGAGCTCGACAAAAGACGTTGCACGTATTTCCATAGTAATAGGTAGTACAGTAACCTCTGACCTGGATGTCTAGGCTAAAATGAAAGTAAAATATTCTAAAACCATGAATGTGAAGATGATACTTTGTATTCTCAAATGTTTATTTAACCGGTTATATAAAACACCCCCATCAATTATCTAGAGGGTAAAAGTAAAGATAAAGGTAGTCCCGTAATCGTGTTTAACGTAAGGAAATGAGCTTTTAGAAGACCACCATAGATTCTCCAGAGGATTGTAGAAATGGCCAATGGTATTTCTCGATGTGATGATTATTGGACCTTATTCCTTAAAAAGTCTTTCGCAGTAGCAAAGACGTGAATACATGTGACGCTTACCTCGACCGTCTTCCTGTGATTGTTACGGATGTCCAGTTTGATTGTGATGACGTACGAGCAGGCGTAAAAGATATATTTTGTTTATATTCATCTATCTTGTCATCCCTACCATGGTCGTTGTCGTGCACAATTCCTTTGATACGAATTCCATTCTATATTTAAATAGAATTTGTACTATGTTAACTTGAAATCATGTTACGTTATTTCCATCTGATCTTCATTATCATCGCTAGATTGACACATTGACATTTGAAATGGAGGGGCCCAGAGAAGGACTTTCACAGATGGAGGGTCTATCTACCTCAGCACCCCCATGGTTGGGGCTGAGGTACGAACATTTATGATTATGGCATATCTCTGGACGACCGGATATTTGAGTAGAATTTTCTTCTTTTTTTTTCTCAATATTTGTTAAATTTGAAAAATTTAGAGGTGGGGGGTGGGGGAAGAGGGCACGGACCCTCCTTAATCCGCCACTGGTTTAATATATTAATTAATTCAGTACTTGTTTGACAATCGAATCTCTATCAGGTCTATTCGTATTTTCTAACTTGTACCCCTATGTATATTAACGATGTCCAGGGTCCAAGCCTTTGATAATTATTAATTAATGACGCAGAGCTGCTATTTGATACATTGTAAACATAAACTTTAGAAGTAGAAGTCATGAAAATATTCATGAAAAAAGCATTAGAAGCGTTAGGAGCTTTCATCGATAAACGATCAGCTTTATTTACAAGTCTTGTGGACTTATAAAAACTGAAATTTAAAAATATCATTTCAATCTCTGGTAAGTCTCTCATCGATAATAAAACAAGGCATTTTCATCCCTTAACCTTAGAATATCATCATACAACCTACTTACCGTAAACGTCATCATGGTGAATATATACGGATTGTCGATTCCTCCAGCTGCCCCGGCACCCACAGGAAATGTAAAATCGTCATCGTTCGCGTAAACCTCACCCATATTAATACTACCTAAGGGACATTGGTCAAAATCTGAGTGTGTCGAACTGTACAAGCAAGAATAAATTAAGAATATATTAATATAGTAATATTATAAAATAGAGTGAACAACATACAATGGGGTTTTTCGTGCTCGACAGGTCACGACTTAAGTATTACACTCTCAGGCCTAATAAAAGAGTTAAACGAAAGGTATTAAATTATCATTGTCACAATTATTATTATCGTATAATAGCCACTAAACCAACAACGTTTAATTTTTAATATCAACTATGCAGTCAGATCATTCCTGGTAAATTTGAGCTCAATTGAATCATGTTAAACATTAGAACTTTATACTCTCATTATCTATCAGCACACAAGGGGTGAACGTCTTTTTAATCCAGTGGCTTAGCTCAAAGGACAATATCGTAGGCCTACAATGTTATTTGTGACAGAAGTAGATATTAATATTTTCTTTGGTGGGGAGGGGGGAGGGTTACCCTAACGATAAAGTTTGTTTGATTGAAAACGGCCCAATCGTTTGCCAATAGTAGTGTTTTGAAATGTTGCCAAAAAGAAAGAATGACCTTTATGACCTTTGACTCCAAATCCCAGAACGCCATAAAGACCCTGCCTTATGCCAAGGCATATACACGACTGTGCTACATTATTTGTGACAGAGGTTTTTACCCTAATGACCTCTGTGTGACCTTTGACATTAAGCGATGAACACCCCCATATAAGAGGTGTCATTGGTAAGACTGACCGAGTTTAATTGAAATCTGTCCAACCGTTTGGCACAACGTTTTGAAACGTTGCCAGAAGAAAAAGAACTATAGAAACGATGTTCAATAGAACATGAATCCAACCAGTACCACTCAGATCATTCCTGATAAATTTGAGCTCAATCTAAATTTACATTTTGCCTGCGTAAGCATGTTATAGTTCAGGCTGCGTCCTGGTTTTTGTAAATGTTTTCTTTTGTATATTTCATATGAATATCAATAAAGAATAGGCCTAGCTGAAACAATGTTGAAACCAAGTGGTTAACACCTCATGTATGAGATGTGTCATCGGTTATACTGACGAAGTTTAATTGAAATTGGCCTAACCGTTCGGCCACTATCTGTCTTAAGCCGGTTTCCACTAGACGAATTTATTCGCGCGAGTCGAAGGCGTCGGATCGGTTCCTGAGCTCTGATTGGTTGCGCACATGTTTCGCTTCGCAAAAAGTAGAAACAGTTCGAACTACCAATTTCGCTGGAGCGAAAACTCCGATAGAAATGTGAATGCGCATGCGCATGAACGACGAATGAAAGAAAGAAAGATGACCCTTTAATGACGTTTGACTCAATGCATTTTATGAACATCATAAAGACCCTGCATTATGCCAATGCATATGAGGAAAGGAAAAGACTGTGCTTTGTTATTCGTGGCAGGAGACTTTAAATGGAGTAGGACCGGTTCGGCCGTGAACAAGTTCGGCCGCGATATATTTGTATAGAACGCCAAGTAGGCGCAAAGCTGTGCATGTTGTACGTGTGTGTGTGTGGTTAATCTATTGCTGCTACAGTATCCATTATTTCGTGTTTTATTGTTAGGTCTTCTTAATATGCTGCCAAATAATGTGGTTTTAGGAAATCAGGGCATTATTAAATTATTATCAGTGACTCTAAAAATACTTCTTTTAGAGTCAATTTTGAAAGTCCATAATATGAGGCTGATGTAGGAGTTGAGCACTTGGCTGAGAGTTACTGTTTCTGCTTCTTGTACTGAAGACCCCCGGTTCAAGCCCGGTGAGCTTCGAGGTTTAATTGGAATCTGATTTGTTTTTCTTCTCTTTTCTTTTTCAAAAATTAATGAAAATGTTTTATTTACTTTTTTAATAGACTAATGCCATAACAAAATTTACTAGGTGTCACCAGTTATACAGACCAAGTTTGATTGAAATCAGCACAACCGTTTGCCAGAGTACCGTTATGTTGCTAGAAAAAGATACGAATGACGTACCCCTTAATGACCTTTGACCCCAAATAATTACGTACCACATAATTATTACTGTCAAACTATTATGTGTACATAATTAATTCTGTTGTTACAGAAATAATTATGTACCACAAAAGTATTACTGTCACACTATTATGTGTACATAATTAATTCTGTGGTTACAGAAATATTTATGTACCACAGAATTATTGCTGTCATACTATTCTGTGTACATAATTAATTCTGTGTTAACAGAAATAATTATGTACTACAGAATTATTACTTTCTAACTATTCTGTAGTACCATAGAGAAAATAGAACAGTTCTATTTTCTCTATGGTAGTACAGAATCAATTCTGTACTACTTAATTTTGTGTCTGTCACCACATAATTATTTCTGTTCTCACAGAAATAATTCTGTCCAAAACAGAAATAATTCTGTCCGCACAGAATTATTTCTGTACTGCACAGAATTATTTCTGTCCACTCTCTACGCAAATTAGAAGGTGGGGTTTCCATCAAACATCCAATAAAATCATCCATGTCCAATACTGTCAAAAGTCCTTTAACACTTTTTCCTCTTTTATTCACAAATACATCCTACTGTATACTTCCTTGTGGAAACAAATGCCGTATGATAATATTCATATGTATTCATTTAAGTGTCTGTTAATTACTATATTTTTTTAAATAGTATGTGCTATGAATGTATTATCATTATTAGGATTACAGTAGTTATATTATTACATTATTAATTCCTTTAATATGATTTACAAACACAGTCTACTTCCATGTGAAAACAAATACTGTATATGTTAAAAATTAATTTTGTTAGATAGCACACTGCTTCGTATACAATACAGGTCTCCCTCCACTTAAAGACCACATTTGGGACCGCGGTTTCCATGGTCTTTAGCAGCTTTGGTCTGTAATTAGAATAATAAAGATAAAAGACATTTGTGAAGTTGGTATTTATTACTTGACCCCTCCAATTAGAAACCCCCTCCAATTAAAGACCACTATTTTGTGCTCCCAAATTCACAAAGGTCTTTTATCTTTACTTTTTTTAATTAGAGACCAAAGCTGCTAAAGCCATGGAAACGCTGGTCCCAAAAATGGTCTTTAATTGGAGGGAGAACTAATAATATTTGAAAGACTATAGTCTGTATTGTTGATATACGTCTTATGTTATTATCTACGTATAAATATAAACTCTTATAATAATTACAATAATGTAGTGTCTACTGTATTTATTACTTGAATTTTATTTCTTTTTTAATTTTAGGCCTAATTTGTTTTAATTTTTTTTACAATACTTTTATAATATATTTACTGTTTATATTAATTGTACTTCAATTGTCAGTATATGTACTACCAGGTAAATAAAAGGCTTGGGAGTAATAATTTTAGTTGTGTTGGATATTGGTTGGAATGCATAGGCAAAGAAGTGACCAATCTGGACATATTTGTTGAAAACAATTTCCAAAACACTGTTGAGGTCACATCTCAGATAGTTGGTTTCATCTCTTTAATGAACAAGCATTATTTTTATACTCTCTCAAGAATCTTTTTTTTTTACTTTTCAACTTTATAAATATTTTTCACTTGATTATTGGATCAAATAAACTACAGATACAAAATTGGATGTTGAGCCTTTTAAATGTATACCATCTAAGTGTATACTATTATTTAATATTAAAATTTAATTTAATCAAGAGGTTGTTATAGCATGGAGGTATAACAATTATACCTCCATTGTTATAATGACTATAGCAACTCCGTCTTAAATATATAATGCATTCTAAAATAATAACATTAAATTATTATTCATAAACAGTAGGAGTGTTATATACAGTAATTTTTCCGTATGAAAGTAGGTTGTGTTTGATGAAAGGGACTAATGGTTTACTGTTCTATATCATAATAAATACTATCAATCAAATATGGCACGCCAGAAAACCCGCGAACTTTCTTAGTCTCTAAGGATTAATGATTCTATTGGATGTTTGATGGAAACTCCACCTTCTAATAGTGAGTGGACAGAAATAATTCTGTGCGGTACAGAAACAATTCTGTGCGGACAAAATTATTTCTGTACCGCACAGAATTATTTCTGTGAGAACTGAAATAATTATGTGGTGAAAGAAACAAAATTATGTAGTACAGAATTGATTATGTACTACATAATAGTTAGAAAGCAATAATTCTGTAGTACATAATTGTTTCTCTTAACACAGAATTAATTCTGTACAAAGAAAAGTTTTGACAGTAATAATTCTGTGGTACATAATTATTTCTGTAACAACAGAATTAATTATGTACACATAATATTTTGACAGAAATGATTCTGTGGTACATAATTGTTTCTGTAACAACAGAATGCCTATTTAAAGACATAAATACCCAAACGGCGCCCCGTACAAAGGCCAAGGACTGCGCTATGTTATTTGTGACAGAAGTAGTATTATTACGATTTTGGGGCTGAGGTAAGAAATTTTGTGATTAGGATAGATGGCAGGAAATTACACTTTTAGACTTAAAATTTGAATTTTAATTTGAAAAAATATAATTTTGCTTATATCTCCATTAAAAAAAAATTGAACTATATAGAGTGCCTACTTTCCCCCATATGCCTAAATACAAAACTCACGAAGGCAGGCGATTTTTTCTTCATGCTTTAGGGTGGGTTTCAAGGAAACTTTCAGACGCGCGTATACAGACGTCAATCAACATTTGGTTGCTCAACTCAAAAAGGAAACTTGTAATGCTCGTTAGAAAATGAAAAAAAAAAATCTATATTTTATACTGATAATAATAGATCAATTTATAAGACGCAAATAAACAAAAGTCAAAAAGGGGGGGGGGGGGGGAAGGGGGCCCGGCCCCCCCCCCCCCCAAGTAGGCATGGGATGTGTTTTGATTATTGTAATAATAATAATAATAAAAGTGGCTAATATCTTTGATACCAAATTGGCAGAGACCTCTCATCTATATCATTGGACTATTTACTTGTTCTGACGTTAAGTTGCGAAGGGGTTTTAAATTTTAGGTTAGCTCTTTAAAAGTCAACCTTATCAAGTAGGTATTTTTCAGTTCCCTCACATGGAAATGTAATTCCTAGTGACGAATTAATTTACAGATAAGAATTTAATAATGATTTATTTTTGGCACTTTCAAATAGATTATGCTTATTTATTTCTTAAGTACAGCATCATAACGTTACTAATCTTAATGTTATTAATATTCAGTTTTTCTGTATAATATAAATATATCTATATAATAATTTTTTCACAACTCCACTTAATATTTTTTTCCTCCGTTTTCAATATTGTTTCTAATGATGACCATCTATCTGTTTCTAATAATTATGCAAATCTTTTGCAAACTTTAAACTTTGGTCTGGTATTTCGGGATGTTTTAAGTACAAATCTAGCCATTTGAATTTTAACTCTTTCTAAAGGTATAACATCATTTAATCAGTTGCGTCATTTGCTATTAAAAAACATCGTCTGCAAAGAATAATAATTAGTCTCTAATTTCCCAACTTAACCATACTTTTAACATTTTTATACAATTTATTTAGGATCGTCCACACTTTACCTCTTATAAAGATAATAATGCTTTGTTTGTCTCTAACTTCTTGTTTCTTATTACACATTGCTTCATTTTTATTAAATTATATACAACAAATTATTAAATAAGTTTAAAACCTTCAATGAAAACAAAAAAAATGTTGGTACTTTTATAATTATTACTGTTGCATTTGTTATCGATATTATTGAAAAAATTACACAGAATTATAAAAATAATTTTTAAAAAAATAATGTCGGCGTCATTTGATGTACCGTATGTATTTTTGCTCAAAGTTATAAGCATGCGAGTAATGAAAAAAATCGCATTTGGAGCGAATATGGAGAAACGACAGCGGTACGAGTACGAGGCGGGGCACATTAGTGCCGGCAGCGCCGCCAAGATTGGAGACTGTAACAGGGACGAGGGTTGGTGTGGTCCCCCAGGTATGAGCGCAAAGCGCAAGAAAGACTGTGCTTAAGGCGCGAACAATTTTTTGGAGGGTGGGGGCGGGCTCTGTCAAACTGGAGGGCCCATTATTAGGGAACCTATGTTATTATTGAGGGCCCATGATAGTAATTATTATGTTTGAAAAAAAATATTGAAAAAAAAAAATCTACCTGCAATTTATATGGCCCCCCCCCACCCCTAGTAAGCTCGGGCCCCGGGAATCTTCCTCCCCTTCCTTCTTCCATCTCGGTGACACTGAGCGCTGGCATGTAAACAATAAGGAAGGAAAGAATCAGTGGCGTAACGCCTATGCGCTCTCATGCGGCGGTCCGCAGGGCCTTCGAATTCTAGGGGCCCCGAAGGGGCCCTACCCATAGGTTCCTCGATCTAGCACCCTGACCAAAAAGGACTTTGTTGATAACTAACACCATAATGTGTCTCTGAAATTGACTGTAGGGTATATATCATATTATAAAGATTAAAGAGAAGGGGACACGTCGGCCCGACGGGGCCCTTCTCTCGGCATGTGACCCCACCAAAATTTGTCAAAAAAATTTAAATGCAGATAAAAATAAAATTATATTCACAATTTTAAGTCTGTGAGTGCCATTTCCGGCCACCTAGACGTGCCATAATAATACATTTTTTTTATCTCAGCCCCACAAGAGCAACAACATAATATGTGTGTCTGAAATCGACTTTACTAAGACATCATATTATATCCAGTGGCGGAATAAAGACCCGAATCCAGCTGCCGGCCTGGAGCTGCCGGCCCGGGGCCCCACTAAATTTGTCAAAATTGTTTAAACTTGTATAAAAAGAAAATTATATTCACAACTTCATGTCTGTGAAATGCCATTTTCGGCCATCGAAAGGTCCCTTATTCATAAATTTTCTTACCTCAGCCCCAACCATGGTGGGTCTGAGGTGGTGTAGACCCTCAACTGAAGTCCTTCCCTGGCCTCAATTTTCTGGATCCATATTATATCATTTATTCATCGTTAAAAACATTTAGAATAACAATGCACATTTAAAATCCCAAGATAGAATCGGTGATTGGGACCCAAAAAGGGCCCCCAGTTTCAAATACACAGGGCCTCCGGCCCCATCGTTACGCCACTGGAAATAATACACTGTATTTATTTCGAATTACTGTAGTGTTTACTCAACGCCCTGTAATTTAAAAAGTAATACATTATGGCCACTCCCAATATGGAATATATGATCCTCATCGATTCTCATTTCTTTTACTAAACCATCAATTAAATTTGTTGAACCAATTGTAGAGGATTGATCTCTCCGAAACCATATGTCATTATCACGACATTCCATGAAGCGCACACCATTTGAATTGAAAATATCGTCCCCATATGCGGCATTGGAATCACCAATCAATCAATCAATCAATCAATAGAAATTTGTAAGGCGCCAGTATCCACGACAGATACAATGTTCAGTGGCGCTAATGACGTTGGCATTACTCAAAGTGCACATAAATTTAACTTATGAAATTGTAAAAAGAAAAAAACTATTTACACTAAATTTTTGTGTCAATCACTTAGTACGAGATTAAGAAAATGTAAGCCTTTAACCTTTTCTTAAAAAGAAAAACACTTGAGGATAAACGGATGTCAGAGGGTAAGGCATTCCATATATAGAGGCAGCACATGAAAATGAACGTTTTCCAAAATTATTAATTAAAACCAATTATAAGTATGTGCGTTATCATCATCGCATTAATTTTTTTTTTTTTTTGAGGTGGGGTTCGCCTCCAATTCCCAGTAGATATGCCACTAAGTACATTAGAGGTACAAAACAATTTATATTGTTTATTTTCTATTGGTGAATATATGTGTAGCTTAGAGGTTAAAATACTTGTCTTCCAACCTTCCAACCTTCCAGGTTCATTCCTGGCAAGGTGCAAGATTTTTTCCTCAAGACCAACCCCATACACTCTAAGCATCATAATAAGACTACCGTTCATGTGTGTGTATATGTTATGTGTGTATGGCTTATAGGCCTAAGTATCTTTTTATTTTTTAATAATATTGGCGATTTTAATTGCTACTGGAAAAATAGTGCCTACAAGTAAAATACAAAAATACCTCCCAGGCGTATCAAGGCAGAAGTAGAATCGATTGTCGCATTTACTACAGTACCACCAACCATCGCAGCAATCACCATTGAAGTCTACACTTGTCGGGTTTCGATAACTGACAAATTTGATTTCAACTTTTGTAATGCACCGGACACAGAGAAAACCCTACAAAATTTAAGCAAGTAGAAAAGCATAACCGAAAAACATCACATAATATATTCAGACAGTCAATACTAAACAAAAGAACCGAGCTATTGTCTAAATGCAGGCACAACAACAAATACTTACTTAAAAACAATTAACTCATTTGCATTTTCACCTGCCTTAAAATTCATATACTCACACAATCCTTGTATTCTCTCACTCCTGAAGATTGCATTAGCATGAAACAGTCTGTAGAGTAATTATATCCAGTTCTACAAGTTCTACATTTTCAATATATACAGTATAAATATATATATATTCGATGTCCTTTATTCGCACATTGTATTTACCTTTTTTTTTTGATGATTTATGTATAATTTAACAGTGTTAACGGCTTTCTTAATGTATATTATATATATATATATATATATATATATATA